TTTTTTCACTGAGCATTGCTCTTACTTCTGATAAAACCCCTCACATCAAAAGTCAAGTGAAATTTTAAAGAAAAATATGAAATTAAAATCAAGCTTAATTAGGTTAAACTGTTTCGAGACCTAGTCTCTCAGCTATCTCCTCCACCTGGTAATTTAAATCAATCGAAGCATTTTCAAGCCATACGAGTGTTTCATAGTATGAATTTACTATTGAATCTAGATTTATTTGTTAATTACCTACTACAATGTTATACTATTGCTCTTTTTGCTACTACTTTTAATCTATCATTGCTTGAACTTCTTTTAGATCTTTTGCCATGTCATCAATCTATTTCTCAATTTTCAGCGCATTTTAGAATATCTCATCTCTCTAAGTTACATTTTAAATTTTATACTAGTCTTAATTGGCAAATTGTTTTTCGAAATACTCAACTAGCTTAGTGTTTCCATGACTCTCAAGGATTTAAGTCACTTCGTTATCAATTAAATCGAGCTCTTTCAAGATGGTATCTTAATCACTTATAATACTTTCAATTGCTTTACTGTTTTCTACATAAACATCCTTAACTGCCACTGTTGATTGTTCAAGTCTTTTAATGTGCCCAAGTGATTCATAGATTGTTTTCTCATATGTTAATAGTTGAGAGCAGGTGTCTTAGAATTCTTTCTCATTGACCTCAATTTAAGTCTTCCACTTGCTAATAAGTGAGCCAACAACTTCTTCATCCTTGACATTTGATGATAAAGGTTAAGCTTAGGTGATATTTTGTTGCAATGCTTAGGATTAATCCTAACCTGGCTACTAATCATTTTATTAAGTTGCTGCTCCTGGTTATTGCTAATCTTGAGGCCTTGTTTAAAACATATTTGCTGAGGACCCATCAGATTTTTATTCTTCTGGTTTTTTTCCAAACATATTAGTGGTTGAGGCTGGTGGTTAATTTTAGTCACCCTATTTTTATCCAAACATATTGGCAGTATTAGCTGAGTCAGAAGCACCTCCTGCTGCCAATCCTCCTAAATTAAGACCACCTAGAGGTTTATTTTTGCTTAAAGTATCTCCACTTCCCCCAAAGACATTTGAAGAAGTTTTCTAGGCAGATGGAGCAGAGTCATCTTATTATTTAGAACCAAAGCCTACTGCTCCAGTGTTACTACTACCTCCTAAACCAGCGAAAGGAAGTGATTTATTTTCTTTTTTATCTCCATCTACTACGCTTGAAGAGATTCCAGCTAAGTTTAGCTTTGGTGCCTCTTCTTTTTTCTTTTCTTCTTTCTATTGAGTCTAAGCACTTGCACCCTAACCACCAAACATTACTGATGATGAAGTAAGTTTATTTTCAGTTTATTAATTTTAGCCAGTTGGTTTATTTGCTGAGCCAAATGATGATAGATTGCCTAAGCCTCCTCCTGAACCTCCAAATAGAGAACTAGTCTGTTGCTAAGTTGCTGATGATTCTGTTTTATTTTAGCCTGTTGCCCCGAATAAATTAGATTGTTATTAGCCACCTTAACCAGCTCCACTTCCAAACATTGTTGATTAGGAGGGAGCTGTTGTAGGTTTATCTTATTAAGTTTTGTTATCTTGATTTTATTGCTGAGTGCCACCTAATCCAAATACTCCTGCTGTGGAATTTGATTGGCCAAGTAAATTAGATGATCCACCTGTTGCTGGTAATTTATTATCTTACCCAGTTGAAGCTGACTATTAAAAGCCAAACAGACCACCAGCTGGTTTATTATCACCAAACAGAAAAGTAGATCCCTAAGTTTATTGAGTTTAGCTAGTTTAGCCATTTGCAGCTGTTGTTGAGGTCGAGCCACCTCCGATTTAGGTACCTGCACCACCAAATAATCCAGAACCTGTACCAGTTCCAAAAGTTGAAGGGGCAGTGCTAGAACCAAATAGTCCTCCGCCTCCAGTTGCTGAGGTTGTAGATGTAGTTAAATTTTGTTGATTTTAGGTCTTGTTCTCATCTGTCTTACCTCCAAATAAACTTGCACTTCCTCCACCAAATGCTTATTATGTTGATGCACCTTAATTGGCTGATATATTCCCAAATGGAGAGGTCTTACCTGCAGCTAAGCCTCCTCCAAAAGCAGGAGTTCCTGTAGTAGTTGTAGCTCCACTAGCACCACCGAATAAACTTGATTAAGTAGTAGTAGTTTACTTAGATGAGTCTCCTCCTGAAGCATTACCGCCGAATAGAGAGGCTCCATTTTATTGCACACCAGGCTTATTTGCAGTACCAAATGAAGATAGATTTGGAGTCGTTTATGCACCTTGATTTCCACCAAAAAGTCCTGCTCCAGTTGAAGGCTGAGTAGTTGATAGACTTCCAAATCCACCACCTCCAGATGTTCCTGATGAGGTTTATAATCCTTGGCCTCCAAAAAGTTATGAAGATTGGCCTTAGCCTCCGAAACCTGATGTAGTGCCAGTTGATTATCCTCCGAATATGCCACCACCGCCAGCAACCGTACCTTAACCGAATAGACCAGTATTGGGCTATAATTGAATTAATAATAATTATTTTTACTGCTCCTCCAAATAATGAATTCTAAGTTTTATTGTCTGCCATTTAATTATAATATTTATTTTCTTGTTTATTAGTTGTCAAAATTTAAAGAGAAATGCTATCTTTTTAAGATTTAATTGATTGATTGATGGGGTTTTGGGGTTTTGGGG